GAAAAGGTGATTTTTCTCTCACCTTCTTGTCACCAATCAGTTACAAACAGCAGTGGCAGTGATATGGACGGAAAAATAAGATTCCTCTAAGAAACGTATCTCTCTCGGTACCTCCAGCGAGTGCCAGGCACGTATGCACCTTATATGAGCCCAGGGGGGTATTTTTTGCTCTAGAAAACTGCCATGGACTAGAGATGTGCAATAAGCAGCTATGCCGAGATTTCCTAGCAAGATCTAGTGGGAGAAAAAGGAAAGCTTTCTCAAGGATGGGATCTGACAAAAATAGCCACCGGCTGCGCGCCGAGAGCAGCCCAGCCAAGCGAATTCCTTGGATGCTTCTTCCTTGCTCCCCGCTTCGCTCTGAGCAGGAGAGCGCCTGCCAGCAGTGGTCCGAGCCCACGCTTCCTTATTTCCTGTAATTCGTGCGCCTTGAGTCGGAGGGAGAAAGGATGGGACACTAGCAAAAAAGGAGAAGGGAAAAAATAAACAACCCACCAGGGAAAAGAAAACGTCGGCATCTTTTTGTGTGCCTTACCCTCTGGTAAGCCTGAACAGTCGGAGCTCACGCACAGCTTGACGTACACCCGGGGCAAGGGTTTTAAAATGAAGATCCCTGTGGCTGCTTAATGGAGTATTTGTCACCTGACTGCTCTTGTCTCCAAATCTACAGCAGCTGTCTGTCATCTCCCACTGACTTGCCGCTGAAACATGAACGAGGAGGGGTAGGGGGGTCATAGAAATGGAGATTTTAAAAGTTTGGGGCGAACCTTAGACATAACGTGGAAAACGCGTTGCCCCCTGAAATTCAGACCAAGGTGTCCCATCAAATTTGTTCAGGGTAGGAGCCCACCAAAACCATTTCAATACCCTCACTATTTTACACAACTATTCCCATGGGGAGGAGACACTTTGTTAGGTTTTTAGATGCTTTTTTGTAAGTTTCATTACATCACTGTTAAACGCCCAAACAACCGGGCTAATTGCATCCCCCCCAAGCCCCGCGAGGTTTCCTTGCAGGGAGGGTGCCACCGCTCCTTACCTTTCTTGGAAGCCACCGGTTTTGGCCGGACTTTGGCGTTCTGCTGGCTGGAGACGTGGGCGAGGGCGAGGAGGCAGAGGAG